ATTATCCTTCAGGAAAAATGACTTAATGCTTAAGCTATTTGTTATCAAAATTGGTTCTTCAGATAAATCTTTCTCTTGCCTCTCTGATAACTTCAGTCTTGTGAAGTAAGTATGAATTCAAAAGATGCAGACAACTCGCTGTTCTCCCAGCTCTAAGTATATAGCTGCAAACAAATTGATCTTTAATGTATCACTAACAAGCTCCCATTTTCAGTGGATATTTCAATTAATATTGTTTATTGCAGACTAACATGTTGTTAATTATAAAAGAAACATATTTCTGTGGCATTCATGTCCTCTTTTCCTGCCTTTATTACTTCAAAGAAAGTATGTGCCTACTAGTAGTGTTCAGGGGAGGAGAAGGGTAAAATGTGAGTGGGTGCTTAGCCACTGAATAGTAGCGATTTTTGACTTTAAGAATTTCCTTTAAAATTGAATGATGGTGATTCCCATAATCTGAATGATATATTTAAAGATTCTTGCAAAGGCAGAGCGGAGGAAGCTGACAGTTCTAATCAAAACTGGTTGAAATGAGTGGAACAGCTTCTCAAGCCTGGAAATCCATTGGAACAACTGCTGCTTGGAGGGAAGAGATTTCTGCACTCCACCTACCCTCCTTATCTCCAAAAGTTTTTACTAGATTATTTTTCCACTTTTTTTTTTCCCTGAAGAGTTAGGTATTCCAAATTAACTTCTGAGTTCCTTCAGAGAGGAATAATTGTGTCATCCCTCAAAATGGATTTAGTCAGAAGCTTTATGTTAGCTGTAAACTCCCATTCTTACAGACTTGACCCGACCTTCCTGAGATGGCCTGTGGTGTAATTGCAGCTGTGCTGAACATTTATTTGTGGCCTCACATGGAAATTCAGTTGATTTTTTTTTTTTTTTTTTTTTTTTTTCAGAATTCAGCTGATTTATTTTACACTTGTGAACACAGGAGTTAGACACTGACTTTATTTTTTATTTTTTGCTGGGTTAGAGGTGATAGTCCGAATTCCTAGCTGATAATCTCACGGCAACGATTTGGGTTGCAGTAACTTTGGATTTCAATTCCAGCGTCACTCGCTGTCGGCGCGGGCAGCTGCCGTCAGCGCTGAGCRAGATAGAGGGATGCCAGAGAGCAATAACAAAGGTGGCCAAGTATTTTCCTCCTTGTGAATCAGTATTTTCCCCTCTGAAATGCAGAATGTGGCCAAGTACCCCAATATCAAGAAAGGTGATGAGTGAGATGACTGGAAATAGTGGGGTGCTCTCCACTCTTTGGTAGCAGTTAWATCTTGTTCTAATTGTAATCAACAAAAGTGCTGTAAAGAAACTGTTTTCATACAGTTTCCTAGGCATTTGCTTCATGAAAATGATTCTCCTATGTATTATTTCTTATTTTCCCTGTCCTTAACAGATCTTTTCTGTACAGATGCTCTTTCGTTCTCTGTCCTTTGAGAAGCTGGAGCCAACTGTTACTCTGGAAGGCAATAGCTACCCTGTGATGCTATGGAAAGCTGTGGGATTATGGATGACAGTTTGGTGCAGAAGGGATTAAGGGGACCAGGAAGGGTTTAACATTCCCCTGCTTGCACCCTCCCACCCTCTGCTCACTAGTTACCAGTGTGGGGATTCCTGGGAAACGTGGAATTTGAAAGGTCAGAAAATAGGCCAGTTTGGCAGACCTTGGTTTGCGCAGTGGAAGCTTTGCCTCCTTTTAATTAACAAAAGGAGGTGGGGGGGATTTGAGCCTCTTCAAGTACGTCCTTGGAAACAAAGCACTTTATTCCATATGGATATATAGGCAGAATTTGGATAGCAATACATAGAGAGGTGGAGGTAACTAGAAAAATAACCTGAGATGGTCAGTGACTTTTTTAAAGCACTTTTTAAAAAGTGCCTTTGTTATTTAGCTGAATCTCCTGTGAACTTAGAACCTGGCCTTGACCAACTGACGGTAGTAATTTGTCACCACTGGTTTAATATAGGACTTCTTTGTGCAACTTATTGCCAGATGCTCTTGAGACCAAGTGAACCTGTTCTGGGCATGTGTGCTGAGCAGCCCTTTTGCACGGTGGCTCAGAGGCATTTTATAACTGCAGCAGAAGACAAAGAAATATTCTTTATCAAAACAAGGAGTCTGAATTCACATTTGTCGGGTGCTTTCTGTGGGACTTGCTTTCTGCAGTAACTTGTGTGGAAATAAATGGATTTGTAGCTATCTTCCCCAGTCAGCATTCATATGTGCTGTCCTACCTGTCTTGTGCTCCRGTGTTTCTGTACATCTTTGGTAACTTTGAAATATGGAAGAAACACTCACTTCCAGAAAGGAAATTGCCTCTTCATTTTCCTAAATGTGAGCTGTAATGACGTATATCTTCTAATRTGCTGCAGCTTTGTTGTTGAGACAGGCCCTCTGTAAGAGAACTAATTGTAATTACTCTATGGAAAACGTACTTCTCATAGAGATTGGAGGATTAGGAAGTTACTCTGAAGCAAACTGTAAAGTATAATAGCAATGAGAGGATTAAACTGGTATTTTAGAAGAGGGAGGGGACCCCCCCTCCCCCCAAAAAAAAAAAAAAAAAAAAAAAAAAAAAAAAAAAAAAAAAAAAAAAAAAAGTTTACAAGAGGATTTAAGAGCAAACTGGACCAATTACAAGCTTAAAAAATAAAATAGCCTGTTTCTAATACTCTAACCTATGCAGAATAACGTTTTGATTAAGTAATTGAGGGCTATCTAGTCCATAACATTTAGAGCTAAATAGTATGAATAAGTGATTGAAACAAGTCAATTAAAGAATATTTTATTTCCTTATTTCTCCCCACCCCAAACTTTAAACAAGTCTTGAGCTTCATAGTGCTTGTACTGATAAAGGCTGAATGTCTCAATCCTTTCCCATCCTTCTGCAAATAGTCTTGCTTAAATAAAAATTATGAGGAATGAAAATTCAGGTAGGCTGTTAGTTTGTTAGAGCAATTTTACTATGAAGAATTAAGATGAGCAGCTTTCTTTCCTACGAGAGAAAGCCCAGATTAAAAGATGACAAAWCCAGCTAGTATTTCAGAATACTATTCAAAGATGATGTGAAATTGAGGTAGACTTTCCTTTGAAAAGCACCAAGAGGTCATAAGGCTCCATATCAGTAATAATGAGCTGTTATAGCTGGCTCTGATTGAAAGCAGGCGAAATGAATCTATTAAAAAAAAAAAAAAAAAAAAAAAAAAGCTTTTATTTTGGCTATGAGTTAGCATTTTGGAAAATGCTAATGATGGAAAATTATTAGGAAATAGCATGCATAAGCAAAAATTTAAATGCATGTATATACTTATATATAAACTGAGCTTGAAGAAATTCAGTAACCCTTTAAATGCTTTCTATACTGAGCACATTGACAGGAAGTATTTTGTACCAGAGGAGTATTCCTGAATACTGAAAAACCGATATTTCTGAAAGCCAACTTTTCTAAAAGAAAGTAAGAGTATTATGCTCCCTAAGCTAGGATAGATCTGGAAGACRAGCAAGATGGATTTGCTTATGTATGTATGGACAACATGTGAACAGAGGGGCCAAAGTTTAGAGCTAGTTCTTACTGTGACCCCATGCTGAGGGAGAATTTAGCTCTAGAGAACTTCTAGGGGCAAAGGTGGAAAACTGGAAGCAGGGGAAGCTTTGTGGGTTGTTCTTCCCTGCAGTGTCACAGTGTTGACTTGGCTTGTGTGGCCTAATGCGCTGGTGTAGCCCAGAGCTGGAGCTCCAGCTGCCCCAGAACTCGGGGCTTGCAGGACTTCGAGCTCCTCGAGCTCGTCCTGAATCTGCAYGTCTGAAGCATGTGAAAATCAAACTGACTTGTCACCAGCAGATCACAGACTGAAGGAGAAGAAACTAAGAAACTGATTTCTTGTGGATGCAATGAGTGTTCGGGGGTGATGGCCCTTCTGCATCCTGGGATGGTGGTGGACAAGTTTTTGACTGGTCATTTATTGACTCTGGGAACAAAACATGCAACTCGTTTCTTTTTTTAATATCAAGCCAGTGCACATGCTCTAAACTTTTCCAACCTAGAAGCTTTTGTAGATAGTAATGAACTTTTTACTCTTCTAGGAACAGAAGAAAAATGTTATCTTTCCCTTTTTGTGCTGACAGAATAAAACTTGACCCTTTTTCTAGTTGCTGTGCTCTGATGATGTTAATTGCATTTACTGACGTATTTTAATTAAAATATGTAACTTCTGAAACTTATTCCTTGCCACATTTTATAACTCCTACAGATCTTACACCTGTCTGATAGGTGTCCACAGGATGCTGAATGTCAGCAGCAGGTTTTTGATGTGATACACTTTTCATGTAGCGTTTTATAGGTTTGCACTGAGCGATGGACCTTTCACAGCGARCAGCCCCTAGTGCTGCCTTTCCCTTCTGCTTCCCCATGGAAATTCCAGTGAATCACAGCTGCAGGCTTGGAAATCCATTCTAAGTACATAAAGCCGAGGTGTTACTCTTTGGTGTTACAGCATGTAGCTGTGCAGCTCATGTAGCCAAAGAGGAAATTTGTGCATATGAGAGTATGTGAAGCCAACAGTTGTAGGATACAGGTGGAAGCAAGTTGGGGCTGCAAGTGAGCGYCTGGAGCTGCTTCCTTAACTGTATGACCTATATTCAATTTCACTGTACCTGTGTAAAATTGTAATTAAGATTAGAGACTCTAATGGGTATGAAAAGAGCTAAGTATACATTAAACTGGCTGTGGGGCAAAACTGTTTTGTATTTTTCTTCCCAAATAACCAAGAAATGTGYGGTGTTTAGCTTTAGGAACAAAGCATTTGGTCAGTTGGTTAAAGTAAAATAGCCACCTGGTACCTACTTGATATCCTATTTGATTTCAGTTTGTTCTGTATCTTATTCTTACTGAATTACAGTGTATTTTCTACCTGCTGGGTGGGAAGGTGGAGTGGGTGACTGTGTTGATTATATTGTTGAATTCACGTAAAACATCTGAGCTCTGTTTGTTTTACAGCCACTGATCTTCTCTTGGCCTGGAATCCCATTTGTCTGGGCCTGGTGGAGGGAGTCATTGGTAAAGTTCAGCTTCATACAGGTTTGCTTTATCTCTTATTTCTGATATGCTTTGTTTTGAAGTCAGTGATGCTGCAAACAATTCCATTAAAGCTACAAAATATTATGTAACCTCCTTCATAAAGGAGGAGTACTCCAAATCTATTAAAGTGATAATAATCCTCCTTTATGAAGGAGGTTACATAATATTAAAGATTATTATCACTTTAATAGTGTAATACAAAAATTCTTTTACTTTCTAGAGCTTATATTTTATCTCTTTGCTTTGTCAAAAGMGTAAGCGTAAGAATCTCTAAATCAAACCGAGACACAACATGAAGTTAAAGAATGTACAAAAACAAATTATCAAACAACTTTGGAAGTTCATTTAAGACATTAGTAGTTTCTGTTCTGTGCCACAAACTTTGAATTCTCAATATTAACTGACAACTCAAGGAACAATTTTTAATTTGGGTGATTGAAAGTAAAGGAACATTTAAAAGCTTCTCTGTAGCTATAGAGGAATATTGTAAAGAACAGCTGTAAAATAAAAAGAGCAGAATGCATTGCAATTAATAAGCCTCTCTTTCTAAACAATTCTGGCAACTTAATTTTTACCTTTTTTCAGTATAATAAAGTCAGTAGTCTCTCAGCTGTACTCAGCTGTGGAGTCTTGTAGACAAAAATACATATTTATTTTGATTATAATCAATACACCRATATACCTGGAAGGGTGTATATAGTATACCAGCTTTGCCTAGGATGATTCATCTATGGGTAGGACTCTGGATGCATCTAATGACAGACAGAAAAGCAAGCCAGAAATTCTGCTGCCTTTACTCTGTGCTTTTATTTTTGTGATTGCTTAAGCTGTGCATTTAAAGTGCTCTCTGGCAATATGATCAATACAGGTAAAGTTTCAAGTGTGCTCTGGGACAGCAGCATGTATTAAGTGCTGAAGTGGATCAGATGTTTGGTCTGTCAAATAGAAATAGATACTGTATGGGAGGGGAAATTAGATGGGTCTCATAATCATTTCTAATCTAATGATTAAATGAATGTTATGACTTTCGTAGCTGGTGAAGATAGCTCTAAAATGGCCGTAAATTCAGGTGCTGGAATCATTAACATTTACTGCTGTGAGGCAGGACACCATCCAGTCCTTCCAGTGCAGAAGGCACCAAGGGAATTTAGGTGGCTCAAACAACCAGAATGCTGAAATTGCAAAAGATGGGAAGAAAGAATCTCCATTTTTTCATTCTGGAAGACAGAGGGCTGGAGATAGAGCCACAGCCTGCTTAGTTGTTCCTTATGTGGCAGTCATGACCCTCCAAATCTTATTCCTCATAAGCTCATAGCTTATTCCTRAGATGGGCTCCGAGACTCTCCATCCCTTTCTAATGTTTACAATCATCTCCCATTTCCAACTGTCACTTTAATATTTTGTCCTCTGCTCCTTCTGCAGATCTTCTCAGCCCTTGTTCTCATCTGATGCTTCTAAGTGGCTCAGCCTCTTGTCATCTCACTTTCCCTTGTCCATGRTCCCAGATATTCAGCATAAATTGATGAAAATGGCTGAATTTCCTTAACCTCTTTCTGCTGTGGAAACTGCTGCTTGCTTATTTTTAATGTGGTTGTCTTTTGATCAAATGTGCCTTCCATTTGGGCTGCAGTCAAAGTAGAAAAGCCCACGGAAGTCACTTATATGGTGGTTCTTAAACCTCCTGTAGACAGTGAACCCACTTGATCACATAGAACCACACTTGAATATAATCCCCTGGCCAAATCATCTAASGTTCTGTAACAGTAACCTGTCTTCATTACTTATTCTTGTACCAATCTTTGTCACTTGGAAACTTTATCAGCAGAAGTTTTATAAATATTTAACAGTGCTGAACCRGGAGCTATTCTGTAGAATTCATAAGAAAACTGTGCTGTGGAAACTGGGCAAGAAGCTTCTCCCAGAATCGATCCCCATGCACAGGAACAGTGGACCATGATCCTGCACTCACACCCTGCCCCATCCTGTAAGGATCAGAGCACTTCCTTTGAAGTTAGACTCCTGTATGGGTTGTCTTGCTCAAAACTTTGGTTTATTAGCTATTTATGGAAGGAAATGTTATTTTAGAAGCTTAGAATATTATTTTAGATGCTTAGAAATATTGTTCTAGAAGCTTTCTGCTTCTAGACTGTTCTGTTCTAGACTGCTTCTAGAAACTAACTTTAAGTACTGACATTGCTGGTTGCACCCCTTCAAGCTGTCACTAACCCCATGTATACTTCAATGTCATGGATGTAGTTCCTTACATGTTCCTGAAAGACTTGCTTGTTCCAAGAGTACCTCAGTCTTGTTAAGAACCTGGAATGTCCCTGTAGTCTTAAGGAGTCTTAAACTCCTTAACTTAGTAGTGAAATCAAATTTAAATTATCACWTCTCTCTTTTCTTAAGCACTGAAGAAGCTAACACATCAATTTATTTTTGATGAGCTAGGAAAAGAAGCTTGTCTGCTATGATAGAGCCCTAAAATAGAGCCCCATCACCCAGAAGTATCTCTGATCCCTTCTGCTAAACTCGWTCTCTTACTTTTAGGAGGAAGTACTTCTGTTTAAAACTTTCTCTGCATTTTCCATCTTAAACTTCCACTTTTGGCTCATCAAAGCCTGGGATACAGCTAGCAAGCTACTAATTTAGATAAGGATTAAAAACAAAGGAGCTTTTAAATGTTCAGTCACTGTTAGCAGGGGAACGTTACTGTTCTACTTCTCTCTTTAAGGTGCTGAAGCTACTGAAAGCTTTGGCTTTTCACTACTGTACTGTGTGTGAAATCCAAAAATGCTTTGTCTTTTTTCCTAATTGCATTTCTATAATGATGTTGGCAGGAATGTGCTGCACTAGAGGTAGTGTAAGTACCATAGGGGAAGCAMTGTAAAGTTTATCCCAAATGGACAACTCTGAAATGGTGATTTTGTTTCAGAATAGTGATTTCTTTTTATAACATGATGTAATACTKCAAAAACAAATAGCCTTTCATTGGATTCTTATAAACAAATGGCTTCTATAGCAGTTTTTTTTTTTTTTTCCATTGGGAGAAACTTCTGAATAGTCTGAGTGAATGCGACTTAAATAACAAAATCATAGCTTGACTATTATTTATTCATTCCCAGATTTACCATGGTGGTTACTTTTAATTCGTCAGAAAGCATTGATCGGCAGGCTGCCAGGGGACCATGAAGTATGCAAAATAACAAAAATTGCAGTGATTCCACTTTCTGATACAGAACCTCAGGATCTGGAGCTGGAGGTATGAAAATATTTGCATTCCTCTTCAGAGGAGATTATACTTTTTCACAGCTGCCCTTGCATCTGTTTTGGAATCTTAATCTCATAACTTGACTTTAAGAGAAGACTTTGATTCTTGCAGAACTTTGGCTAAAGGAAAAATGAGTGCATCATGTTAGTTTACATTGTAGTTTARGTGGGATTTTGAGTTGGTCTGGATACTTGAGCTGTGTCAAAGTGAGGCAGATTTTTCTCACAATGATAGTGGAAAATGTCTTTTGTAAAGGTTAAGGGGAAACTAGGCTATAGAGGGAAACCTGCATGATGATAAAAGCCACCTGCCTTAGGTCTGTGGGCTTATACATAGACTTGCTTTGGTAGACATCCAATAATACTTCATTGGATGTGTTAAAGTGTATTTAAATATTTACTTTAAAACATTGCTATTGCTATTACTCAGCTCTGTAAAAAGCACCATTTTGGAATAAACAAGACAGAGAAGATTACACAGTCTCCAGATGACTCGAAATTTCTCCTGAAGACCCTTACTCAAATTAAATCAAATGTGTCTGCTCCAAATAAAAAGAAGGTAAGATCGTACCCTTTCCTTGGGGCAG